TGTGTGTGTGTGTGTGTGTGTGTGTGTGTGTGTGTGTGTGTGTGTGTGTAGTAAATGTAGTAAATTTTGTATGTCATATCTGCAGCCTCTGAGAAATATGAGAAGCCCAATTGGATCCATCATTAGTCTTAGGTAAATTGGACCTGCACAATTACTTTAAAGCTTAAATTGGTAAAATTGTGCACTTTTGTTTACTTGCATTGGACAATAGAAACATATAGGACATGTGGCATTGCGTGGCAATACCACAGTGTTATGTGGCCTCAAAGTGACCCAGGATTCTCAGCAAGAGGGGCTGAGTGGCTCAAGGAAACAATTGCTTATATCAGGAAAGAACTGGCTTTTCAGTCCTTTCCGGGTTTTCTGGATCATAGTTGGGATCCTGGAGCCGGTAGATTTCTTAGAGCTCTGGGTGGGATGAAATCTCCATTCCTGGGTCCATGTTTTAGTAGCAACCAACACCTAGTTGTGCACCCGTGTACAACCCTCATGAAGAGGGTGTTGGGGTGTGTTGAGGGCTCCACCAGGGAGACAGGAGAACTCCACCCAGGAGTCAGAGTGGAGTCCAGTGCAGCAGGGAGTTGCAGGTTTGTGAAACCGATTGTGCAGGTTAGCCCATTATTGAGGTTGTTTGGAGGAAACAGACAGTGGCCCTGAGGATTGAGATCGGAGCAGTGGTGCTGCAAGAGAAGACTGTTAAAGGACTGGGACACTGTGAGTGTGTGTAACCACTTGAGAATTGGTGAGCCAATATACAGTATGTTGTTATGCTGAAGACAAGCTATTTTATGTTGGACTTCCTTGGTTGTCTGCCTTTGAAAAAATAATAAAGACTTTTGGTAAATGGAAAAACCCTTTGCAAGTGCTCTGTGAGCTCCCCAACATTACAGACCATATTAGTTAAAGCAACCAAATTGTTGGAAAAAGTCTTACCCAATGGTGCCACGTTGATGACATAACCATCACCAAGGTATAAGGCCCAATGCTGATATGCTGGTCTAAATATTTCAATCAGGTCTCCGGGCTGGAGGTTGCAGGGGACATCCTCATTGTTTATGTTATTTGAAGCCATCTGTAATAAGCAAAAACATTGTTTTAGATCTTAAAATTGTATATATCTCATTTGCAACAAGAAATAAGGTCACCTAAATTGGAGACTGTAAGTAGAACAGGCTCAATATCGCATATATCCTTTAAATATATAATATAAATCTGTATATACTATATAAATCTCACTTTATTTGCAGGAATATTTTTCAGCTGATGTCCCCTCACATCTGCATCTTTATATTTTTTTCATAAATTTAGGAATGGTTAGAGCTAGGGATGCACCGATACCAATACTGGTATCGGTATTGGTGCCTATAACGAGTATTTGGACAACTACTTGTACTCGCCCAAATGCTCTGATACTTACCCCGATACCGGAACTTTCAGTCAGATGGAGATTCCCCCTGATCGGCAGTGCCGTGAGGGAGCATGGAACCAGCTTGTTGGCCAATCAGGGAGCCGGGTGGCAGGTCATAACCCGCCTCCTGGCTTCCTGATTGGCTAGGCAGCTGGCCTCATGCTGCCTAGCGATACTGTGAGGCAGCCTGGCTTCCTGACTAATCAGGAAGCCGCGTAGTATGTCATGACCTGCTTTTCAGCTTCCCAATTGGCAAGGAAGCTGGTGTCACGCTGCCTAGCAACATTGACCCGCCACACGGTTTCTTGATTGGTCAGGAAGTCAGGCTGCATTGAAGTGTCGCAAGGGAGCATGAAGCTTGTGTTTTTTCAATGGAACACTGGCTTCCCAGGCACTCAGGCTTCTTGATTAGCCAGGCCCACAGTGCTTAGGAATGCCAGAATCGGTGTTCGGTATTGCCAAATACCCAAAATAAAAGTGTCAAAACTCGTACTTGATACCGAGAAACCGCTATCGGTGCATCCCTAACTAGAACCTTTGTCGTTTTTTTATTGCTAAATCCAAAAACACAAGGGCACGTAGTAAGGGGTAATATCCCCAGTGAGTACACAGCAATAAAAAGGAAAGACAAAACTCTTTCCCCACACAAGCCCTAAATAAAGAATCTGGTGTTTTTATACTGAAACATAAGCAGCTCAGGAAATAACTTTTGAGTCAGCTTTCTATATTGTGATCACAGCACAACCTGCACAGGAAAAAATATAGGATAAGACATATCATTACATGTTTTTTCACTGCAAGTGGTCAGTGAATGTGTTTAAATAATAAATCATGTCTCCCAGGGTACAATCTGCTATTTGAGTCAAACATAATAACTTGTAGGGACAGTCATATTTCAAAAGTTCAATAGGTACTAGAGAAGCCTTTCATCTAAGCAGGGATCACTGTCCCTAAATTAAGGTCTTGGATGAAATACAACAGATGTGGCCCACCACATCTGTTTGCACCCCTTAGAAAGGTTGTATTATTCCTGGCCAATACTGATTATCTAGAACAAATAAATAAGAGCTGTAAGGCATTTGTTTTACTCTTGCATAAACCTCTGTCACAGATGTCTCTTGAGATTTAATACTGATTTTTGCAAAGCTAATTTAAACAATGTGTGTGTCAAATGTTTATGGGTGTGCTATTTGCGAAATAATTTTTCTCATATACAAAACCCATCCTGTCATAAAAACAGGTGGCCCATTTGGAGGGTTTTTCCTCATTTCTGAAATGTTGGATTTTGCATTACTTTCTCTCACTAACAATGGTCACCAAGACAAATAGAGTGGTTGAATATACCCAGTGGGGACACAGACAGCAATAACAACATTTCAGAGGTCTTAATGCTTTCCTAAAATTTTGCCTTCACATAGACTTTAAAAAGACCCTGTCATTGCTACCTGTATGTAAAAAAAGTAAAAATAAGCCTGCAAAAAATAGAAGAAAATACTTTCTTTTCAAAAACACTTTGCTGTATTGAAGATCTCTGGTCACTAATGGTAGCTGGTGAATACCTGATCACCTCCCACTGTGGTTCTTTCCTCCGACCACTATGTCACAGCAGGACCTAGCAGTGATGTAAGGGGTTGAAGGTGGGACAATTGTGTGTGGCAGTGGCTTGGGTAACAATAACCTGTCTAGGAGCTCAAAAAAGCCAAAATTGACCATTAAAAATAGTACCCTATTGATTTCAATGCAATTCCAAATCCATATTTTGATACTAGATGCTAGATCACTAGATCATTTTCTCAATGAATACAGTAAAGCATATGAAGTATCACAAGCAGTGGCGTAACCAGGCGCCTGGGGCAGAAATGTTTTTAAAATAGAAAAAGAGATTGAGAACACAGGAATGAACAGGAATCCTTTATGAGTGTTCCTGTTCATTGATAACATAGTATGTTTACTATAACTACAATTATGAATGAACAGGAAGTCATGTAGATCACTCCCATTCATTCATAATTGAGGATACAGTAACCATACCATGTCCTCAATTATTTACAAACACTCAGCAATCACTGATCGCTGAGTGTTTGCTCTCACTCTCCTCTCTGACATGCTGTCACAGGAGGCTGACTGTGAGAGGCGGCTGAGCGGTGTGGGAGGAGAGACACCGGCCGCTCACGGCGGTCTCCTCCCACAACGGTCTCCTCCCACCGCGCTCGGCCGGCTGTAACTTTCTCTCCTCCCCACTCGGACAAAGAGCAGCGCCCAGCGGGAAGGAACATCCTGCGGGCCTAAGCAGACCCAAATTATCTTAAAACTAGTAGAGGGATGATTTTTTTGTTGTATACTGAACTGTGCTGACGCAGACTTCTGCATGTAAAAGGGAAACTCTTTTGCTTTTTTTGTGTTTAATGCAATGGTGACTACGGACAGAAAGCCCTTAAACACACTTCTGGAATACCTCCTTGCAATCTCTACATTTGAAGCTGATCCCCATAATTGTTGAAGAATGTAAAGGGCATCTCACCTGGGACTTACTCTACTGATCAATGCTCAAGAGCGAGTTATTTTGTGGTAAACTGCATGTACATTTTACTGAAGTGCCATTGAGCTACAAAAAGTGTGTCAGCTGCAAATTAAAGGGCCAGTGAATCGTTTTGCTGAATATGTAAAACTTCCTCTATCCTAAGGAAAAAAATCAGTAGTCACTGTGATCTTTCTAACAGCAGGCCAAACTGATCCAAACTTGGCTGATCAACTGGTGGAGATGATGTAGCATAATTCTGCCATGAAGGGCCTTTTGGCCAAATCTATGGCTTCAAGGTTTCTAACAGGCTAGAGACCCTCTCTCTTAGCAACCAATTTTAGAATAGTTATGCAACCTGTAAAGTGAAAAACAGGAGGCAGCGATAGACCTGCAAGCCTGGACAGAACTTGTGGGCATCCCCACTGTTGGCTGTGTAGAGAGTGGAGTAATATTGCAACCAGGTGTCCTCTGACCCAAGAGTCTATGGAATGTGGCCTAGTCTGATGATTGCCCTTATTTGCGAGACAGGGTGTAGTCACAGTTACCTTGGTCAATATATCAAAATTGGGATAAACTTTAAACATGATTTTATCACAAACTTCAAGATTTGAGTCTGGGTGAAATCCTATTACATTACAAAGGTCAACAGATAGGTGGTAGTTGAGGAGGTACAAAAAATGTTAGACCTAGGGGTAAATGAAGAGACCAAAGCTGAATAGTGCAGAGCAATTAGCGTTGATTCCCAAGCCTAACATTGAGGTTCAAACACCTTCAAAAAATTGGATTTGGAATGAAAGTTTGATGCCTACCCCATGCCAAGAGTTGATACATTTATTTAGGGGGTTATTCACAAAGCTGCTGAAGGTAGCCGAGTGAATAACCCAGCTGAAGCGAAGTGAGCCGAATGCTCTTTGGCTATCCACTTCTGGCTTGTACAGCGTATTTTAGCTGTATATCAGCTAAAATTATCCGTACATCGGCTGCCTTCGGTCAGCCAAACATGCTATGCATGTTCAGCTGAGCCGAAGTGCAAAAGGAGTTCAACTCAGCCGATCCAACATCTGGATTGGCTGACCTGAAGCTCCGGCAGCTCACTTGCTGCTGTTCACCCCTATTTTCATAGGGGCTGAACAGCAGTAACTGAATAGCCAAATGCCGCCGAGCCATTTGGATGGAGAACTTGTCCCCCGGGGGGGGAGCAACTATGAGTCTTTGCCCCGGGTGACGGAATGTCTAGTTTCGCCTGTGTGTGTGTGTGTGTGTGTGTGTGTGTATATATATATATATGTATTAGGGATGCACCGATACCATTTTTTTCCAGACCATGTACAAGTACTCATCCAAGTACTCACAGCTACTATTACTGATACATTTTTGTTTAGTGTCATGTGACAGTTTTTCTAAAACAATACATGTCTAGTTAAAACCTTTTTGGACATATTAAGTTACTATAGATGGTTCATTTACAATTATGCTACACTGAGTAAATGGGCTCACAAAGCACAAAAAAACTTTCAGAGTCTAGAACAGGCCTTTTATTGAGAGCCAGACTTTTGGAAAGAGTTCTTAGTCCAGACATATGCTCCCTGTGTAAGCATGGGAGCTGTTTTGTCACAGATATTAAAGCATCTGGTAGTGTATTTGAGTTGAAAGCTCATGTCAGCTGGAAGGAACTATAGCACTGAGAGAGCCTGGCTGCTAAGTGGGCACTGTAGGCTTTGTGATACTTTCCACTGGGATGATGCTTTAGACTAATCACATGCTCCCACAAGTGATGGCCCACGCCAAAGAATGAAACCTGAGAGTCACCTGCTCATTCCTGGCTCTCCAAGATTTCTTTGAGCATTGGATGGATTCTCTTCAGAAAAATGTGGATGCCTAGAACTCACTGTTTGGTAGCTGGTATTCACACCCATGGGTCTAAAGAGAGAGCTGGATATGTGATAAACAGTCCCTTTTGGTCATGATTTGAGTCATGGTTGGGGTTTAGTGGACTGGACTCTCAGATAAGCTGGTTCTAGTGGTAGATCTGTATAGCAGCAGGTAGGTGGTTATTCACTTGTATGAGGCCCATAAAACACCATTTTGAAATACATCTCATAAAGATTTGCAATGCATCAACTGTTCAAAAAGGGGCTTAGAG